AGAAGTAATATATGCCTTTACGAACATGACTCATACTGTATTTCACGCATATTAACTTGCAAAAAATATTGCTGAGTTTACCCTTCATGATTCTTATTACATTGTTAATCATTGCTGAATTGAATCATCAGTTTATCTTAATCTAGCAAATTCTATTTAACAAGAATACTATCATATTAAATTATTCAGTTTTTCATGCTTAGAGGATCAGCAAAGAACCTATACGACTTGGGTATAAAAATTAGGTATATTTTTATTTCCGAATTCAAAACTCAAATTTATTGGAATTGAAGAATCATTTTAAACCCATTATCTTAGAGCTTTCAAGAAGAAGAATCAATCTAACAAAAATAAAAATATTTCATCACGGGCAAGAGCCTACTATCAAATTCATATAATTTATGTTAGAAGTTGAACATATTAGTCCACGAACAAATTATAATGGGGTATGGATGCTATTAGAAAGCATGAGAAAATATTTCTCGAGAGCTTTTAGCATAAAGTGGATTCTTAAACAAATATATTTTTGTTCCTTTGATTGAATTATATAACTACAGAAATGAACATTTACGAAGGCTTAGACGCATTCAAATACTAAAAAAAACATACCTTAATTCTGTGACGCATTTTGTCTTTCATAATACGATAGTGTACAAAATTAAAATAGCAACTTGCCAAGAGTGCATGCCAAAGTAGAACCAGCAACAACGGCATACGATACCAATATAATAATAATATCTATCCATCTGTCATGTATTACTCTCGGGATTCCAGAATCGATGGAGAATGCTTAAGTTTCTTCCGCTTTAGCCAATTTGAGTTTTGTTAGAAACCATAATAATTGATATTCTCCATAAGAACAGTGTAAAAGTATCTTTAAGATTGTTGGAAAACTTGGATGATTATGGAGAATAAAAGGTTTAGCTTGAGGCGTGTCAAGGATACTGTCCTTAAGGATATTTCGCCAACAGCGTGATGAATAAAATTAGGCGTATCCCCCAGGATTCAACAAGCTCTTCTAGTATAACTAGGAGCAGAAACAACAAAGATTAATCAGAAGAAAATCCAACATAAAAAAAGGGAAGAAAAATTTTTACTTTTTTTTTTTTAATTTCAAAATGGACACAAGGAATTATATATATGTAGTCCAAAAAATGGACATCAGATTGTTAACCATAGTAAAGGCCAAAAACGTTAGAAAATTAAAGGCCATTTAAGGCTTTGAAAGAAAACGTTAGCCATTAAGGCTATTCAAGAATAATATTAATTTTCAGTTATAAATACATTATTATATTTGAGAATATATTATATTCAAATTTATTAGTATAATAATTACCCACCATTAACATAATATTAAAAGAATGAATCTAAACATCAATTTTAATATTTCTTTTTGAGTTATTAAAATTATTTTTCTAACGAAGGTAACACCATTGACTTCGCTTCCTCCAAAGATCATGTTGATAGTCATCCGAGGTGACCCTTGTGCTACCATCGAAGGCTCCACATTCTCCCAGCTCCGGCCATAGTTGTTCTTGGCTCGGTCAATTAATAACACTCTAAGATGTCCATTCTTCAACAATGTCGCCACCTCTTCGCGAAGATGTCGGCAGTCCCCAGTTATATGGCCATAAGTACCATGGTATTCACACCATAAACTGGGATCCCTCTATCTAGGATCTGATCGGATTGGCTTCACGAACTGTGCTTCCTTGATATTCCTCATTGCCGATACCAATTCGACCAAACTGATGTTAAAGTTGTAATCTGATAACCTGGGATATGTGAAGTCTCGGGCCTCTAGCACCTCCTTCTCCTGTAACGACCTATTGTTCCGGCCACGATCGGTTCTTCTAACGGGAGCAAACTTGTCCGAAGACTGAAACTATTTGTTGATACGCCCATCGGCCCTATTGTACGGTAGAAATCGACCTTTATAGGACCGCCGATCCGCATCAAAGTCGCTCTTAAACTTGTCCTGGTTTTTGTCTCGACCCCATCCCTTGGTGATACCGAAGACCCACCCAAGCTGATCGTCTTCTATCCTTATTTTTGAGTCATAACGGTTATGGACATCTGCCCATGTGGTTGCCTGAAACTCAAGAAGGCTCTCCTTCAGTTTTTGGGAGGCATAAGAACTCAGTGGATTTAGACCCTTTGTGAATGCCTCTGCCGCCCACTCATCTGGAACTGCCGGTAGCATAATCCTTTCTTTCTGGAACCGTATCACATATTCTCGTAGCAGCTCAAATTCGCCTTGTGCGATTCTGAATATGTCTGCCTTTCTGGGATGAACCTTCATTGCTCCGGCATAAGCCTTAATGAACGATTCTGCAAACATTTCAAAAGAATCAATTGAATGCTCGGTAAAAGAGAGTACCATGTCAGAGCCTCCTTCATGAGGGTTTTACCGAACTTCTACAACAGAACCGACTCGATCTCATGTTGAGACAAATCGTTTTCCTTCACCATTGTGGTGTAGTTTGTGATGTGCTCCTGTAGATCCGAAGTCCCATCGTACTTCGGTATGTCCGGTATCTTGAATCTTTTTTGGAATTAACTCCGGTGCTGCACTTGGCTTAAACGGCAACTGCGTGTACTTTTTTAAATCTGAACCATTTAACACTAGTGGCGCGCCCGGAATCTGATCCATCCGAGCGTGAAACTCCTTCGCATTCTGATCCATTCGTTCGTTAATTTTTCTCATAAACCTCATGGGCTCGGTTTTGAAAAGATCACTCCCATTATTATTACTAGATCCGCTAACGGTTCCTCCGGCTTTGTTGAAGCCGACTTTGCACCTTGGGTATTGTTATTAGTTCTCCGAGCCATTTGATTTGAGGGAACACTTGGAGGAATCGGGCCCCTTTCCCTCGCATTGTTGGAAGCACCTGTCAATGCGTATTTTAATTCTGTCATCACCCGATCCTGTCTTGAGAGGTGATCCATGATTGTTCTCTGCTGATCCCTCAAAAGTTTGACCGTTCTATGACATGTTCCTCCTCCGTATCATCAGGAGTTGGTTACCGCACATGCCGATCATACTGACCTTCGCGAACCGGGATCGTCTCGCCCCCTTCGTTTTGGGTTTCACTGATAGAGTTATTGCTCTGGGACAATTCTTCCCCTTCAACGCGTTCTTCCACGTTGTCATTGACGTTATTGGCTGCCATATCTAGTTTTTACTAAGGAAAGAACTCAAACTCGTTAGTGATAAACAAACGGACTAAAGCGATTACGCAGCTGTCTATGTCCCACGGTGGATGCCAAATTATTTACCCATAAAATGGTACAATTGAATTTGTAACGTGGTTTATAGACAAGCGAATCGATTTGACCCAAAAAGTGATAAAGAAACAAGATTAAAATTGAGATTTAACGATTAAATTAAAGAAGATAACAAGTTTCGTTCCGAACTCAGCCTTTCCGAGAACAGAGGCAAAAATAATAATAAAACAATGATGAAGTTGTTTAATTAAGCGTAAAATAGTAAAGCATGAAAGCGAAATAACAAAGTATAACTTTTGCGTGCAGAATGTTTTCTCCCCCACAATTGTTGTTAACTCCACTATTTATAATTTTACCCAGGGAAACAAGATAATAGGATCAGGCTGCTCTTTAAATGAGAATAAAAATGTCATTGGTAAATATGTAACGACAGGCCTTGAAGGTAAATATTCTCCGTAACGATTGGTCATTTAACGCTAGCAAATATTCCTTCATTGAATGTTGTCCGATGGAAAATCTTTGAATCCATCTGGTACAGGTCACACACGTCTCATTCGGTACTAATTTTTTTCCGACTCGTCCTTTGTCTATATTCAGCTCCACGTATCATCTTACTATTCGGCCACCTGTTATCAATCAATTTTACCCCATACAACTCCTCCTTGAATGTGTCTTGTCAATGCGTCCATCGCCAAGGAAAATAAGAACGGGCTAAGAGTGGATCCCTGGTGTAATCTCATCACAACCGGAAAGTGTTTCGAGCCTTCTCCTGTTATCCTCACTCGAGTCCTAGCTCCATCATACATGTCCAGAATTCATAAAATTATGCATATTTGACAAGTTTTGGGGGGGGGGGGGGGGGGGGAGAACATTATTATAATGTTGAGATGAAATTTCGTTCTGTTCGTCACTGATAACTTGAGGAAAAGAGTGACTCTAGTCCTTGATTAGCCCCTCCCGATTATTGCATATATTGATTTACAGGAGGATAAAGTTAATTTATGACATTCAAATATCAAACACAAACTCTATTTCTGTAAGTCGAATGTACTGTGATCAGTATTTCATTAGTTTGACGTTTGAATGTATCTTACTTTCCTTAATTCCTTGTATATGAAAGCTTGGATTTGGCATTAGAGCTTCTCTTGATGAAATAGTTGTTTTATTTGTTCCCTTTAAAATGTTCCCTCTTTCATATATCCAGTTTGAACCAACTTTTCTTTAAATCAGCACAATCTTTTAACTCATCTCTTAAATTTTGTGCCTATATTGAAAGAATATGTGGTGACATTGGATAAATTTAAATTCACAATCATACCTCTTGATTCCCATTTGCACAAAAAAAAAAATAATAATAATAAACCAGTGAATAGTGTAAGACCTTATTTGTTTAGTCCAGTTTATTTACAACATAAACAATCATGCATTATAATTTATGGAAAACTAGTCCGTCAACCAAACGACCTCTTAGTTCATTGAAATTTTTTAGTACAGCATTAAACTTCTTGATTCAGGGGTTCGATCCCCGAGTTCTAGCAATAAGGGTTGTTGTGGAGTGGTAAATACTTCATCCTTAACCAGATTTCTCGAATTCGAGCTCCGGGTATGGAGTCCCCTTTGTAAGATAGGGCTTTACCCTTCAATGTGGGACTACCCGACGCGAATCAGGATTTAGTCAGGCCCCCATGCAGGTACCGGACACCGGGCGGGAGACAAAGAAAAAAAATCATTTTCCCTATATTCTTTCCTTTCAACATAAAAAGAGGAGCCAATTGAAAATATAGATAGGGAATATATTACAATGAAATCAAACAGAATCAACAATGTTTAAGAATTACAAATCCAAAGGTCATTTGGAAATTTACATCAGAAGCCATGGACATAGGAAACCACTTCAACTAATCTAACCTTTATACAATTTTACTCCATCAAGGCATTCATGCCCAACACAAGAATTCAACAGTCTAATGCTGATCTTCATCTGACCTAGACCGTATTAACCGCCTGCGCCTTCTTGAGTTTAACGATATATCACTGAACATGTCAAGGTCAGTTTCATCCTCGTCTTCATCTTCATCATCATCATTGTCATGTAAACCTAGCAGATTTTCACCCCATAGATAGCGCCTCCTTGAGGAAGATCCAGAAGAACGCCGGTGCCTTGACAAAGCCCTCAACCTGCTTCCTCTTACCTCAGACGTAGGGTCCATTGACCCAATCATCTGAAATAAAAAGAAAGTACTCAACCACCGTCCACTTTCACTCGGATCTCGTTCCCCTTCACCTGATAGACCATCTCCATTCTCAATCACGTAATCCCCAAGCACCATCGCTCCGGGCATTGCAGAGTGGATAGCACTAACAATATCGTTGTACTCTCTCTGGTTTTCAAGCCGATGCCACGCTCGTTGTCTTGACGGATCAATATCAGAAGGGCGTGCTGTCGGGTGAACTCTCCTAGCGTGCTGCCTCAATTCACTGTAGTTACCCATGAATGAGCAGGATTCAGAAGAGCAACTTCTAGACTTCCTATTGAGATACTTCCTAGCCTCCTCCACTACCTTCCATCCTAACACGTCTCCACGACACATAGGACACTTCAATTTACCATTGATCTCTTCATGATCCGTTTCCAATAAAGATACAGAACCTGAAGTTTGGAAAATCCCTTCCGACATGCCCGTATGATTATCTGCCACGTTGCCACTCTCCTCTTCTCCTCCAGGGAATGCATCATTTTCTGCAGCCAGTCTTGTTGGTAAATCACGATTTCCATGAAGCGTTCTTAGATCACTTGAATTTCTCAGCTCCAAGCCATCAGAAATCTCAATGGAAACATGCTGGTTGCCTTGTGTCGGACTACTAGAAGGGCAGTCCTTACCGTCAGCCTTCAGATTCTTGAAACGATCCAGGCAATTCGAATGCCTATAACTTGTGTCGCAAATGTATGATCGGCAACCCTTATTATGAGAGGTACAAAGGAGGAGAACGGCATTGTGTGGATGCTCCATGCAGATGGGGCATGAAGCTTCATTCCATTCTTTGTAGTCAACATGCATATCAGCATCAAATGACATGCTCCGTTTCCTACTAGCCATCTAAGTACACTATGAACTGTTATTAACAACATTCAACCCAGTATTGCAATGCATTTAACAATATGGCAGTAGGACATTTTTATTCGATGAAAGACAGTAAAAAATTGTCATGAAAAGATCCTACGCGTCTCAAGTTGTATAAAAGATAAAGAATAAATATGCACATAGGTAAAAGAACTCTAGGCACACACACTTTAATTATGTGATGTGATGCAAACACCCAGCACTTTTTCAATTGTAGGCTTTTCGTACATTTATCAAGAGCTTTTTTGGGTGTGAGGGAAGGGGTAGGGTCGTCCAGACGTCCACACTATCCAAGATCCTCGGATAGTAAGTCTTAAATATCAAATATTACACGAACAATCTACAAACCATATCCTCAAAAAAAAGGAGCTACACAGGGCATATTGTTATTTTGTTTTCTTTTTCTGAGGATCAGTACGTAAGGCACAAGAATATTTAGAAATGGTATTCAGCAATATCCCACACCAAAAAGCAATCTCCTTTGCTTCCCCCTAAAACCTCTATGTTTTTACATGTGGGAGCAATCATTAATTTGACCAATCCCTCCATTAAGTCTAGATAACAAAACCAAGTTCTGGTCCTATCGATCAAGCATAGGTCCACTAGGATGCATCTCGGAAGCACCAGAATTTCCAAGTCAGTACTGCCTCAGCAGACTCTTTTCGAGCCGGAGGAGTTATAGCATCTCCATCAGCAGTATTAATCTTATGAGCTTAAGTATAAAAATGAAGCCTAGATATGAAGAACATAAAGTATAGTCGACACATTAAAGGACACAATCTTGTAACTCAACAACAACAACAACTACAACATAACCAGTGTGAACCCACAAGTGGGGTCTAAGAGAGTGTACCGCAAACCTTACCCCATCCTTGTGTGAGATAGAGATCTATGCGCAATCTTGTAACTCAGTACTCCAATAAAGATAGATAGTACTCCGTCTTTTCATCTTTTTATAGGTAAAAAGCGCACTCTGTTTAAGGATTACAAGTAAAAATTTGCATCCAATCAACCTTACATCCTTTTAAAAATTCTAATTATTCTCCCGTTTGCATGAGAAACTAGCCAATATAGAAAATCATCTCATGTATACAAAAAGAAATATGTACTCAATTATCGCCAATGCAATATTTCCAATTAGGCCCTATTTTCGCTTATCTTCTTTTCTAGGTCTCTACATTAAGTGCATAATCATTTTGGTAGTTACATAGTAAAGCCGCCATGCCATTCCTGCCAAGAGTTGACTGCAACAGATAATAAACCTCAAATAGCTACATCTATCTTTCCTGTCTGCATAACTCCCCAAGAGAATGCCGGGTCTCTTCTCTACTGGTTTCTTCTGAATGGTCAGTTTTAGCAATTGAAATACTACACAATCTCTATGCCACTCTACTGCAAATTGACTTGCAACGTTCACAAACAACTAATTAATTTTCAATGGTCAAGAGTCCAAGAAATCTTATACTAGTCTAAATCTTGATACAGAACAGCAAATGACTCCTAAAAATAGTAAATATAATCTGAAAGAGAGGATAAAATGTCAATAATGCATTCTTGTGCACCGGAAAGCATAGAGCAGGATTCACATAGAACGACAATTGGAAAACTCAAAGTAGGAGGAAAAATTGGCTAACAAAGATGAAATCATACAGCTAAACAATAACTAGTTTTGGATTGACGGACAGTAGTAGCAGTTGTTTTAACAATTAAACTATAGGACAAACAACAATGAAAAACAAGCGGAAACTTTATGTATAAATGAGCTCTATCATTCGTTTGCAATAAATCAGAATTACTGACAGACGCTAACTAGTCAAAAATTTGAACAAAATCCTATTTTCAGAAAACCATAAACACCACCATCAAAACTGCCAGAACAACAAGAACACTATTAAGCCTCAATCCCAAGCAAGTTGTGGTCGGCTATATGAATCCTCACTACCATGTTGCTCCATTTAAGCTCATTGTAGACCAATATTTTACAAAATAAATAAAATGTACTCGAACTTCTCTATACTTACGACTGGCATATAAATCTCCAATCTGACCAAAACACTGCTAGAAAATATGGAACCTAACTTACTAACATGACAAACATATTCATTGATCTTCAACAGAACTAAATTCAACAACCCTATCTATACTTCGCCCGAAAATAGAATTCAACAACTCATAGTTGATCCATTACCCTTCAATAAAATATGATCATAATTTCTAACCCCAAATAAAACCCCAGAAAAAGAAAATGCAAACTTTGAAAGAAAAATTCAATATTTTAAAACCCCACATATTTTTTTTGCAAATAAAAAAATTATAAAAAAATCAGTCAACTTTTTCCCAAATTAGAATTCAACCCTTCAAAATTCCAACACTCAAAACACAAAATAGATCAAAAAGATCTTAACTTTAACGGTGTATCAAGTAGATCTTCTTAAATTCATAAAAATTAGACCATAATAGTAAAGCAGAGATCAAATTAGGGCAAATGAACAAAAGCCCTAAATACAATGAATTAGGAAATTAGGGTGCATGAAATTACGATCAAAATATGAAATTGAATTCTTCTAGATTTTGTTCTTACAAGATTGATTGTTGATTTTGGCTTCAAATGTGTGAATTAAAAAGCACTTCTACTCAAAATTAGGGTTTGAGATAAAAAGGAAAAAATGTCGCATCTGATATCCGATTGGAATTGTTGGTTTCTATTTATATTTATTATTTATATTATATATAGGGGGTAAATTGGAAAATGCACATATATCTTGAAAATTAAGAGCCCGTTTGGATATAAGAAAAATTTCACTTTTTTCGAAAATTTTCAATTTTTTCTGAAATCAGTGTTTGGCCATAAATTTTCAAATTTTCACTTGAAGATGGATTTTGGAATTTTTCGAAAATTTGAAAAACTTCAAAAAACTGCTTTTTCAAAATTTTCACACAGATCACTCACAAAACTTCAAAAATAACCCAAAATTATATTCATGTCCAAACACAACTCTAGTTTTCAAATACCGTTTTTACTTTTTACCGAAAATTTACAATTCTTATGTCCAAACGCCCACTAAGTAAACAGAAAACTGTGGGGTGAAAAAAATAGGACAAAATGATGGGGTAAAGAAAAAAGTGGTGTTGTTACGAAACTTAGCTCAAAGTAATACATAAAACAAGAAGATAGACAACAATGTAGAGAGAAAGAGAGGAGAGAATCTATTTCTTCCATGTATTCAAGTGTGTACAATGTGATGCCCAAACCCTCTATTTATAGGATGATATAGGTAATACAAAGGGACTCCATAAATATAGTATTAACTATTGAGAACATGGGGGAAGATCATGGAGGTGTGGGAGTTACAACCATAATGGTAAGAAGTAGTGGGAGGTTAATGGAGAAGAGTAGTGGGTGTTACTCCCTTAGGAGTTATGGACATCCACCATAATCAAGTGTTTCATAACACTCCCCCTTGGATGTCCAAAGATAATGTGCCTCGTTAAAATCTTACTAGGAAAAAACCTTGTGGGAAAAAATCCTAGTGAAGGAAAAAGAGTACACATATCTTGTAATACGCATTACTTGCTGCCTCATTAAAAACCTTGCTAGGTAAACCCAGTGGGATAAAACCTTAGCTAAGGGAAAAAGAGTACAGCGCGTATTTGCCTCCCCCTGATGAAAATATCACTTTATTTCTCGGAGACGACGAATTCCAAGCTTGTATAACAACTTCTTTAATATTGAGATCGACAATGTCTTGGTGAATTATTCCGCCAAATTATTACTTGAACGAATTTCTTGAACATCTGTTTCATCTTTCTGTTGAAGATCGTCTCTACAAAGAAACTTTGGCTAAATGTGCTTTACTTTGTCTTCTTCAATATATCGTTCTTTCAATTGAGCTATGCAAGCAGCATCGTCTTCAATATTATTGGAATCTTCTCTTCAAAGAAAAGCCACACATCTTGTGAAATGATAATATGACAATTCCTCACATACAAATAGATTGTTTGAAGAACGGACTTCAATAAATGCCTGCATTTGCATAAACAACAAAACCTTGACAATATTTGTTAAAATAAACAAATCTATATCAAGGATTCCTTTTGCAATATAATACTAATCATATTTCAATATCTCCATATAGCCTTTATATTTTTAGCTGTTGGGACTATTCGTCCAACTTCATATTTTTCAGATAAAGTCAATTTTCATTGCATATTTTTCATTTGGCCAATCATTTATCTGTCCAAATCCCATGACAGATTTGAGCACAAGATCATCGTCAATATTAATAATATTGAGCGCTACATTATATTAACAACATCGTCGACGATCATTTTACATCGGTTCCATCATCGCACAATAAAGACATAACGTATCGAGATCTCATTATTTTCAAGTACCTGAGCCTCTCCCATGAGGTCTTATAAAGTGTTATGTCATGGTGCTCTTATAAAGCACTTGCCTCCTTATTATGACCATCTTGAACATTTTCTCCCTCCTTCTTCAAGGAGTTTTATCTTGGGAACCGATTTGTCTATTACGCTTCATCCGTGCCATAAACTCTATCCATCATGGATGTTATTCTATTTGGAGCATTAGCAGCTGGAATATGACATTTAACTTTGGGTCAGCAATGTGCTTGGAAGTATTTTAGAAATGAATTATCACTTGAACTTCAAGTTCATATTTTCTTGTACGAGGATCTAATGTACTCATAATAATTCATTCCATGTATTACTTTTTCAGCTGCCCATTTTCTCCCCCTAATGTCGGGATCACCAACACATTTTTCAACCTTCTTTGGGAATCCATCTTTGTGCATTGTGGCAGCACAATTAAATCATATAGCACATCCATATTTCTAGATGGGAATATTTGGTTCCTGACCGTGAACCAATTGTGATGGGGAGAATTTATCATAACTTGTTGGCTAGATGCGTACAAGTGCTGTTGTATATTAAATAATACACCTCATACCAAATTTCTATTTGGGAGTTTTGTTCTCATAACCAATGGTTTAGCTATAATTGGAGGCATACAATTTCTGCTAAACCAACTTGGATTTAAACCAGCATTATCAAGATAAATTATCATAATATATATTCTGGAACTGTGCTCTAATAATTTGAGCAAACAACCTTGCAAAAACCAAAGTGCAAGTTGATAACAAACGCACATGTGACCATACAATAGATGTATCTATTAAAATCATATAATAGTAAACGGTCCACATGGCAGGTGACTGGGCCCATATATATATCACCTTTTATACGTTCCAAAAATCAGAGAATACAATCCCAACCCCAGCTGGTATAGTAATCAATTTATCATGAGAACAAGTCGTACATGAGAATTCTCGAAGAATCTCCTTATTCTTCAATTTATGCCAATGTGAATTCTCAATCATTTTTCGCATCATAATTGAACCGGGATGGCCAACCGGTCATGCCAACTGATATTTGTTTCAGTAAATATTTAATTTACTATGGCATGTGATTTCATCATCATGCTTATACATCTGTAGTACAAATAGAAGAAAAATCGGGTAACCTTCATATTTACCCGGTATGTTATAGTAATATGAAGATAATCGATCTTCCTTTCATTTATAGTCTCAATATGCCAACCACTTTGGCTAATACATTTGAAACTCAAAAAGTTTCTTTTGAGACTTACTACCACCAATGCCATGAATAATTTTATTTATTCGGGTAGTAACAAATTCGCTCTTCTGGAGCTCTCAATAATTTTGCACTACAAGATCTTTTATAACACCATCCAAGTGGTGAATTTTTCCTCCACAGAGAAAATTATCTTATCATAATAATTGTCATGGTCAAAATCATCATAAGCAAAATCTTTTCTTGCTTTAATTTTGCCTTTAATAACTTTTTATAAGGCATGGCAAAATATTTTTGGCTTACCACATGTACACGACCAATGACATATTCGTGTAACCACATAGTAATGTTCATGATCTTTCTTTCTCTCAAACCTCCCGTAGAGGTGAATTGTAGTATTTATTCAACCATGCATAAATACATTCTTGTGCATAATTTGTATCACATATATATTTTCACACTCACTTCAGGAATGAGTCTGCATTTACAATGCTTATCACAAGTCGCATTCTTTCAAAAAATGGACTATAATCGTCTAAACGTGCCTTATATTTACAGACCAAATTGATATACATTCCCTTCACCTTTGAAGGATTATTTTGAGAACCCTTATTGTTCTCCTTTTTATAATTATCATAATGATGACTATTATTATTTTAGTCTTTGGCACGCCCACGTTCATTAGTCAACCACTTGTCTTCATTTAGATTTATTATGCATCGCTATCACATTCACTTCAAGAATGGAGCAAATCAAGTGGGACAAATTTCATGCTTTTTCATGAAAAATATATTATTTTTCATTAGTCATCATTATATCATCAATATGGTGCATTGGGACTCAAACCCACTGCCTTACCCATATAAAAGCATGTTAGTTTATAATGAATTGGGACTCAAACCCAACTCTTATCATCATGATGCACCAGGCCTTAAACCCGATGTCTTATCTTCATAGTGTGATGGGACTTGGACCCACCGTCTTACCTTCAACCAATGTTATCATATTTGATGACATATGAAATAATTATTCCACGCTACATAAGCAATAAAAGTAGTGTTGGCCAAAAATTAGATATCAATATCTCTGTGACCCAACTCAAATGTTATGTTTGGTAGTTTTTAGACAAAGCGAACTAGTTCACAAATATGAAATAAAGTTATCCTTGATGAAAATCATATATTATAACACTAAAATATGTCTAAACCGTCAATATGTCTAGTTACCTTATATTATGTAATCACTAAATTATACAAGCCATAGCATAACTTAAAAGGTACTGCATGCATCTAGTAACAATACTAGTTAATATGAATACTCATACTAATATGCTCACTACTGTCTTTATCATGCATTTCTAGTAACAATTTGCCATAATGCCCATAACCAACTAATCTTTGTTGTGCCAATAATGAGATCAAAGTAACTGAAAAAAAAAACAAATAAGTATATCTTCTTAAAACTATTATAATAATAGTAATCAGTTACCTTAGACTAATATATTTTCTGTGAGACTGTCACAGGTTAAGAGCCACATACTTTTACTGCTAATTGTTGGACTTTAAGCCATTAGGCTTTAAAGTAAAAGAAGTGTGAATTGGAAATGGAGAGAAATAAAATGGAGGAAAAAATAAAAATTTGAAGAAGTGAACTTTTGTCTTGCACTTTGTCCCTCATTGGTGAGGGACAATCACATTTGTGTGCTTATATATAGAATCACTTCTTAAAGCTCTTAAAAGGAGTTGAAGAGAATGAACCCTCGCGCCGTCGTCGTCGCTCGCTCGGCTCGGCTTCGGCTTCGGCTTCGGCTTCGGCTTCGGCTTTGGATTTGTCAAATGATCGATCGATAAGATTATTTTTGGACAAAAATACGCCAGAACCCTGCTGAAGATTCAGAGGGACTCTCTGGCCGCGGTTCTGCCGTAACCGCGGTTAAACCGCGGCAGGCAGATTCAGAGAGTCTCTCTGACCGCGGTTCTGCCGTAACCGCGGTAGGCAGCGTATTCTTCTGAAAAGGCACATTTTCCAGACACCTCTTCTGATAATTGCCTATAAATTCTGAGGCAAGGCTCCATT